GTGAAACCCTGTCAAGCATCTCACAGAGATGCAGAGACAAATAATTCATTTCCCTTGAATGTATGTTCTTCGGGGTTATTGAAAGACAAGCTTCATATATGTACTCATATCCAGCCAAATTTGGGTGAATCTCAGAACGTTTTTCTTTGATCAAAAAATGCACTCTTTTCTCCCATCAACTGGGATGATTCAAGATGGCCCCATTTGTCTGTGGGTAGGATCAGGGCAGCCCATTTGGGTCCGTTGCTGCATACCTAAGGTTGGGAGTCTGGAAGCTTCTTTGAGAGTCAAGTCTCTTTCCCGCCATGTCTGTCATTTAGCTTGAGTATTTTTTCCCTTGGGATGGATTTCCCTATAAAATAAATATCTTGTCTGAACTAATCTTATTCTTAAAAGGAGAAAGTCATCATATTGTAAAGACAGATCATAAAAAGATGCATCAATCTGTCAAGAAGCATAGTTAACATGACTATTTGTTTAGCAGAGACAACGTGCCCTGAGGTGTCTGGACTGTGAGGCTGGGGTGCTGGGCCTAGCCCTGTGCACGCAATTTTACCTGAATGTCGGTGGCCTCTGCCGTCTCTCTGGACCAGCCTCAGCCTGGAAGGGGCCTTTGTTTAATATTTAGACTGTCTAGGGCCAGCAGCTTTGCATATTGAGTACTGAAGCTGTAGCAGCCTCGCTTTTCAGAAGAGGACAGCAGCGCCCCCAGCTGGAGGGGTCATCCTATGGTCCCAGATGTGTCTGAAACACTTTCATTTGAGAATTAATATCAGGGATTTTAGACAACAACCCAATCTCTCCATTTTGTCTTATTCTTTTAAAAAATGTACCCAGGACATACCATCAGTACATAGATGAAAAAGTAACACATCATACAAGTAATAAGTGAAGTGTGTAGTGTAAAAATTCCATGCCATGAAAAATTACATGGGAAATACATAAACGTATAAAATAGTAAAGAAAAAAAAGTCAGTCCTCCTCTACTTCCTCCACAGTTGACCATGGTGAACTGTTTGATGTGTCTCCTTCTCACCCTCTTCCAATGCATTTCTACCTATTATCCTCTGCATAATACACACACACTGTTTATTTTTGTTACATGAATAGAATCTTATCGAAACTTGGTAATTTTTTTAAAACTTAACATTCTATTTTGAGTTTCTTTTAAAAACACAATGACAAAACTAATACATGTTTATCATAAAATCTTCAAACTTTATAGATGGGTAGAAAAAAGTAAACTCCTATCCCTAAAAAGCAAAACTATTGCCTTCCTTTTCCTCCGTTCCCATTCCTCAGAGCAAACAGATAAAATAAACATATCTTTGTGTATCTTTCAAAAACTGTTTATGCATATGCTAACGTTTAAACACAGACGTCCTTCATGTTCATTTTATAGATGAGGAAGTGAGAGCTCAGAGAGGTCGCAGGTATATCCAAGGTCACACAGCTGACTGAGGCAGAGGCAAATGTGGAGCCCAGTAACCTGACTTCGGAGGGCAAAGGCCTTTTCCACTGCACATCTCCATGGCATTTGCCCAGAGCCAGTCTTGACTGGTATCTCTAATCTCACCTCAACCTGGTCTGCAAGGCGGTGACACTTCTCACTATTGCCCATGTCACCCTCCCTTCCCAGGAACGCTGCTGGCTCTCGATGTATTAATAGACTGCACTTGTGCCACTTGTCCTGGGGCCCACCTAACCGTTTGTTTCACTAAAGCCTGCTGTCTCTGGCAGAGCTGTCATTACAGCAAACCAGCACTGTGGAACCTGGCAAAGTGACTCATTCAGTGGGCTTGCGTTTGCACCTTCAAATGGCAGTTATATGTGGCAGATCCTTCTCAAAGATAATTCCATTTAAGTAACCCCTTGGCCTAGTGGGAACTGACGTCCACGTTAGGCCTGATGTCCACTGATGTGTCCTTCCCTCTGTGCTAGATTCAGGGGCCACAAGCCTAACCCTGAGGAGCTCACAGCACACACTCTCTGTCTGGAGTTAGCCTGTGCTCTCTGCTGTGTGTATGTGTCAGCCTTAGCCATCTTGGGCCCAGACGTGTCTATAGCATTGCTAACATCGGGTTGAAAGGAGAAAAGTCAGCCAGCCATATGGATGCATTTGTTTCTCGTTGACAGCAGGATGGCCCATCTGAACATCTGGGAAACATCCAGATGGACAGACTGGATCTCTACACCCACATATTTGGTCCAGCCAACTATGATGATATGAGAGGGCTGAGCCCAGACCTAAGAACTCTCCCGTAACCAGGCCTGTCCTGACCTTGCAGGTGGACAAGAAGGAAGCCTAAAACCTGGCTCACAGGTACAGGAAGGGAGGTGTGTATGTGTGTAGCTGTATGGGGGAAGGCAGTGGGGGGAGGGAGGTTGTGCATGCATCGTGTGTTAGGGTGAGGGGCTGGCAGCTAGAGAAACTCCGATCTTGAAAATAAACTCTTATGAAATCACAGTTCTACCCAAGACAGCCTAGAGGTGTTGCCTTGAATTGGGAGCTTTGGAGTGGGGCGCAGTCTTCTCTGACCAATCTTTGATCCACCTCCACTCAGGAACCAGTCTCCTTCCCAGGAAACGACACCTGCCTGGATCCCTGATTCTGCAGCGCCCTCCTGTGGGCAACAGTAATGCCTGGCGAGAGAGCCTTCTGACACGGTGGCCATAAGTCAAACACATGGGCAATGGATTTTAAAATCTAAAGTTCTGCCCCTTGCTCCCACCCTCTGCGTAATGTAGAATTCTAAATGAGCTGTTAGCTGTTACGAAATCTATTACGAGAGGGCAAAGGACTGAGGATTGGGGCTCCAGTGTTTTAGGACAGTATGGACAGACTAAACAAAATGTAAAATGGTGACTCTGTGTGTATGTGTGTGAAGTCCTGTGCTAAACAGACTCTGCTCTGCAAGTTTCCAAGTGACCTTGGTACATCCTCTTGATATACTCCAGCTCTAAATCAGGACACCTTCTTCTTTACTTCCTTGCTCCAGATAGTGATAGCTTTTTCCAAGTGTTTCAAAGTCTGATGAAGAGGGGAAAACAAAGGCTCAACAGGAGGAAATGGGTTCCAAGACTGTGACTTCGGGCTTGTAACGTAACCTCTCCAGGTCTGAGTTTCTCTGTATGAGCCGCACGCCTACCCCGGGCTTGCTGGAAATTAAACACGATCATGGGCGGAAGACCCCCAACACCAAGCCTCCCAGACATGCTGGCTGCCGACGCTGGCAGAGGCTCGGTGAGACCTGGTCTCCTCGCTTTCGCTCCCATCCTGGGTGTGGTTACCACCTTCACCATGGGGCTGACAGCCGAGTCCCACTCTTCCTCGTTCTCCTCCTGCTCTTCCCGCATCTTGGATATGCTGTCCTGCGTCTCATCTTTTGTTTGTCCCAGTGCCCACAGTGTGCTCTGCCCTCTCCCACAGCTACTTCTTCATCCACCACCCCCTTTTCTCACTGCTTCTTTTTGAAGAGAACTTTTCCCTCCGGCTTTGTTTCATTGTCAGCCGCAAGATTCCTTCATGGGTCCTCTCTGCTTATCCTTTGCACACCACCCCCCTCATCTGCTGCGTCCTGGCTCCCCAGTTAGGCTCCCAGCCTTTTTTCTTTTTTTAAATAAAGGGCGTCATCATCACTGTTGTCACCCAGCTTCTTTTCCTGTTCCACCCCAGCGACCTCCAATCTGTGGAAAAGAAAGGCATAATCTACAATCCCATTGGAAAGTACTTGATTCCCATCCTCTGAAGGCAGTGTTAGAGACTGTCATAGAAAAGACAGAACCTGGCAAGACCGGCTACAAGGTGAAGGGTGCCCAGGAACTGTGAGATTCACAGGGGTTTGCAGTATAGGGCAGCTCAGATCTGAGAGGATGAGGCCAGTCCTCCCACCCCTGCCCACAGCCCAGGGCCTCTCCTCCCCCAAAGTGTCTCCTAGGAGAGCTTTCGCACCTGCCATCTCTGCCATCCACTCCTGCCTAGAGAGTGACAGATGCAAACAGAGGCTGGGACACAGAGATAGAGAGAGCCACTAGAGAGATGCAGAGATACAAACGTCTGGAACAATAAAGAGCCACATAGGGATGGAAGATAAATGTCCTGAGCACTTACATTTCATTTTCAGCTGTGACTAGGAGATGTCATCAATCCCATTTTTGAGAGGAAGAAACAGACTCAGAGGGATTGCCATGGTCTTATAGCTGGGGCGTGGCTAGGCTGAGCTTCAAAGTCACAGGCTATTTGATTCCCAGGATATGGCCCTCTATAACCCCATGGACACAAGGGTGTTGTCTCCGTCTTATTTCTCTGATAATTCAGTGCATGGAGAACAGGGAGAGAGGAGCATGCAGAGCAATGGAGGCACATTCCCGGGGAGAGAGAGAGAGACAGAGACAGAGACAGAGACAGAGAGACAGAGAGTGTGTGAGTAGGGGGAGGGAGGGAGGAGAGAGGCACAGATAACTAGAGAGATGATCAGAAGACAGTGAAATAGAGAAAGGAAGAAAAATAAGCTGTTTATGTCTCCCTATGAGAATGGATTTTGGAGAAAATGCACTTTCTAGATCTCATCCCTAGGCATTCAGAATCAGAATTTTTGGGAGTGGGACTCAGGAATCTATATTAAAAGAAAGTTCCTCTGAGTGGCAAAGTGTGCTTTGAAATGTATCAGAAAAGTAAGATACATTGATGAGTGGATAAAGGGAGGGATAGATGGATAATATGTCATAAAGCAAAGGCAGCAAAATGTTAACTGAAGACTCTAAAAAATGAGTAACACTGTTCACTATACAATCTCTTAATTTTCCGTATGTTTGAAAATTTTCATAATAAAATTTTGGGGGAGAAAGTTCCTGAATGATCATGATGATTAGGCAGGAGGAGGCTCCCTCAGAGGACTTTTGGAGGAGCTGATGCCTTGGAAGCCTCTCCTCGTACCCCTTTTCTGAAGGAAGTCCATCTGCCCCTGGGGGCTTCCTATTCTGTGTGTGGAGCAAGATTAGATGGCTCATTTGGCTTGGTCCCTGTGGGGCACTTATAGCAATGCGATCCAGCGGGCCAGCGGTATAGATTTGGGCGGAGCTCAGAAAGCTGTGGCTAGAAGTTCTCTTGGAAGAATTTGAAGCTGAACTGCTCACAGTGGCCCTTGACCACCTTGGCCAGGGCCGGGGAGCCACAGAAGAAGACTTGCACCTTGCCTTTCTTCTCAGCAGCCACTTTCTGGAACACCTGGAGTCCACAGGGGTAGGGGAGAGCAAAGGGAGGTGAGGTAGGACTGTAGGCACACCCAGAGACAATGTAGTGGAGCTGACAGTGTAATGGGTTGGCAGTGGCAGTGATGGCCATCTGTCCATCCGCATGAGGAACTCCAGGATGCAGTTCCTTGGCTTCAGGGCAAAGAGTCCAACATGCAGCCATTTGTTTAGGAGCCATTCGCTCCACCCATAACCTGGCCCAGACTCTGGGGAGTGTCTGGGCCAGAACTAAATAAGACCCAGGCCCTTACTCAAGAAGCTGCATCTGTGGGGGAGATGCGTACCACACTAGCTGCAGCGTCAGAGGGCAATGGCAGAGCCCCGCGGGCATGCTGAACCCCGATTGCCTGAACCTTATACTAGTCCTCCGGCTGGCCACATGCCTCCATTGAAATGTCTCTTTCCTGACGTTGAGCTTTTATTTTCCCCAGTGAGGACCCTTTAACACCCCAATTCTGCTTAAGAATTGCCTTTGCTGAAAGTTCTCTTTGGTGTCTAAGCACCACTGGCATCTCGTGCCCCGCTTAGTTCTCACTATCTAGGCCTGGATTTCCAACAGCATTTTGAAAAGCAGTCCATCCTGTGTCACTTCATGAAACTCTAGACCCCTGTCGGTAAGCACTCATGGAAGAAACATAATAATAAAACCAATCTGAGAAATGAAATAGGAAGATTGCAAACTATTTCATGTCTCTGGGCCTCAGTTTCTCCACTTGTGCCCGGAAGGGATAAGACTCAGTGCTTCCCCAGGACGCTGCCCACTTGAGCCCTCTGACTCTGGTTTGCGGGGAATCATGTCAGGGGCAGGCCCTGGAGGCTAACTTTCTCTCTAAACAGATGGAGAAACTGAAGCTAGTGATGGCACAAAGTGAGCTAGTGATGGATTCAAAAGTAGGTCCCCTGCTTCCTGTTCTAGCCCTGACTTCCTGGCTGGACTCCAGATGTTGGCCTCCTGCTTTGCCCCTGGCTGCTTGGCCCTAATATCCTTGACTACCACCTCAAGCTCTCAGCCCTACTGGTCCCTGCAGGCTGCATGGCTCCAGTTGGTCTTTACCTTGTTCCAGTCGGGCCGCCCAGGCTGGGTGCGTGTCTGGAGGCCTGTAATGGAGTCCTTCTTCTCCTTCTTGGCCAGGAGGTCGAGAGCCATCTGCAGGCCAATGGCCTTCATGTCATTCTTGCCCAGCGCAGAGGTCATGTACATGTGCAATTCCAGGAAGCGGCCTATGTGGTGGGAGGAGAGGGTACACTGAGGGGCCAGCATCCATGATGGGGACAGGGCAGGATGTCAGCCACCTTGCTGTGGGGCTCGGAGGGACACCAAGAGGGTTTGGAACTGACACCTGCTGCCACCGTGTTTGCCCAGGACCCCCATGTAACCAGTGCTGTAGAGAGAAAAGACGCCCACTGCTTGAGCTGGGCCTACTCTGTGCATGGCATACACAAGTTATTTCATATTCACGGTCTAATGTGAGCCTCACGACTACCCCACGAGTAATATTTCTAGAGGGGAAATGAATCCCAGGGCAGCATGGCAATCCTTGAGCTCCAAAGCACATGCCCTTTCATTATACAGTGTCTGCTCCATCAGGTTAGGGACATAAGCTATGCACACATGAAAACATAACTGAGACCAAAGGGCCAAGAATTGAGTGAGTAGATCAGATGGCAAATGCCATTGATATACGGGGAAGGGCTGGAGTAGACAGAGCTGCTTCCTGGGAGGGCAGGGATTGAGTTATGTCTTGGAAGAGGGGCAAGATTCAAAGGAAAAGGTGAATGGAAGATAACTTAAGAAAGAGGAATAGCATGAGCCAAGGGCAAGAGGCTGGAACAAACGTGGTGTTTGCGGACACGATGTGACTGCCTGGCTGCGTCAGAGGATGCTTGAAAGGAGCAGCAGGAGAGGGGACTGGACACAGAGACTGGAATACAAAAGGTCTTGGATGCCCAGCTGGGAGATGGGGGCAGGTAGAGGGTCTCTGAGCAGGGCATGACAGGATGAAAACAGCTTTCAGGCAGAGTCAGAGAACAGAAGGGACAGGGCAGAGGCTGGCATCACAGAGACTCATTAGGCCCAAGCATCCTCAGTTCTGTGCCTGCAATGGGACAGGTTTGCTAAGGTGCTGATCCATTCAGCCCTCAGGGCAATGAGAACTTCCAGGTGGGTACCTCTGTGTTCAAGCTGCTTCCTCTATTTCCCCAGATATGGCCTACAAACATTATCGTTTTCCATGTGTGCCATGATGGGGAAAAGACTTGCAAGTGCTGCCTTAGACCTGTGCCTCTGTGAAAGTCGGAAGTGGCAGGGCCTGAGCTGGGACATTGGATTCATGGGCTGATGATCACTTCATCCTTCTCCTCTCTCTAGACTGAAGGATCTGTGCTGTCCCAACCTGCTCTCAGTCATTTCATATGCCACCATTTAGCCCATTTTCCCTTTGTCTTATAGTCATAGTCACTGTTAAAATGCAAATGGCCTTAGAAGGGACACCACATTTTATTTCATATATCAGTGAACTTAACTACTGCTGGGTGGTGTGGGAGGGAGGGTGATGTACTATAAGGGAGCCCTACTTGCCAGAGCCCTGGCCCTCTTCCCCCTTCCACAGAGTCACCATACTCCAGAGAGCGGTAAGAGAAGACAGGAGGAGACACCATGCTTGCAGGATGACCTGACGTGGCTTCGCCGTCTCCGAAACAGCTGTGTTTGGGAGACTCTGCTAAGGAAATCATCCAAAGGAAGGAAAAATAAAAACTATGTGCACATATATATTAATTCCAGCTTTATTTATGATAGTAGAGAATTAGGAATAAATAAAATGTCCAATGGTAGGAGCTTGGTTAAATAATTTGTGGCAAATCATTAATTGTATCATTCATCATACAGCCATTAAATACTACTACTGCTATTGCTAAATTTAAATACTATTTTTATTACTGTTAAATGTTCCGAGCCATTATTATTATTACTACTACTACTACTGCCATTACTTCTATGATGACAACTACTACTATTACTACTAAATTTACTCAGAAGTCATTAAGCTCCACTCACTGTTCTAAGTGCTGTAGAGATGATACCTCATTTAATCCTCATGAAAATCCTGTGAGGTAACTACCAGTCTTATCCATATTTTTCAGATGAGGAAATTGGAAGAAAGCAGTTAAATAATGTGCCCATGCTTCTATAGCTATTAAGGGATCGAGTAAAGATTCAAACCAAACAGAACGATTAAGCTTGAGCTACAGAAATTAAAAACAATAAGTCGCAAAATTTTTAACTCAAATCTTGGCATAAAATTAAAATTGAAATCAGAGACCACAAGTTTCAGTTGTAGTTAATGAGAAGCCTTGGTAGAAATTTGAGGTAATAAAGTTGTTGACTCAAGTGGCTTTGAGAACGCGAAGCACTGGGTTAGCTGTTACCCTTTGTTTACACAGATTAGGAAGAAGTAAACACCAAATATTTATAGACGAGTAACTAGAAATTAGAATTAAATATAAACTTTTGCCCTAGCTTATCATAAAATCGAGTTTCTAACGAATTAATATACGTAAAAGCATTTAGAACAAAGTCAGTGTTATATAAATATTTACTATAATTGTTATTTACAAGAAAGGGCAAGGAGCTTTACTGCAACATTCCAAGGTTTAATAATCTTCTAAAGAGCTTGGGCTTTAAGGCTTTGAATGTTTGTTATAGTAAGCTACATCTGTTTGAATGTTTTTTGTAGGAAACTGTTGATTACTTGAACTTATAAACTGTGTTGATCAGAGGAATTTGAATTTACTCACAGCAACCTTATGATAATTAAACAGCCAACTAAGACCAAGATGAACTTGACCAGTATAAAAAAGCATACCAATTCTCTTGAAGTTAGAAACATATCTGAAGATATTCTTCCTTGATAAGTTATTCTATAGGTAAAACAAAACAAAACAAAATAATGATTCTAACAGATTAACTTTAAAACATGGGACAAAACCTCAGTATCTCACAAAGATGTCCCATGAAAACTGTGATGTAACCCAGAGAAACATGTTGTCATACGTACTAAGCACTGGTTTAGTAAAAAATGTAGAATGCCATACTCAGGTAGGGTGGGGAAGGCTGCAGGGGCTGGAGGAAGACATTCAAAACATTCATTTTTGATGAAAGTATAAAAGAAGGGACCAAAGAGTAAAAGAACTCACGTATGTTACGGTGTTTAATCTTTATCGTAGACCATTCTCTAAACTTTTTGACTAACACCATATCACGGAAAATATTGAACATTCACCCCGAATAAATAGATATAGGTTTGTCTTTACCAACAGATTATGCACATTAAAAATGTATATTGGATAAAAAGAATCATATTTACTTCCTCACCTTAAACAACTAGAAAAATGGACAAAATATATAAAACAATGGTTTCCAGACATTGGTCAGCAGTTGCAGGACTGTAATTACCAAAAGAAGGAAACAAATGAAGTGAGCCCTGCAATTGCCCCCTCCTGGTCCGGGTCTCACTGAGTGGGGAGACAGAAGTTGGAGTTCAAGGTGAATATGCAGGCACAATATACGAAAAAGGAATCTGCAGACAGAAAGAGAGAGGGAAGGAAGAAGAGAAAAAGGAAGGAAGAAAGAGAGGGAGTCAGGGAGGGAGGAAGTTAGCTCTGGAAATCTGCATAAAGTTTTCCCCTAAGCCCTTGGCTGAGCATTAATCAGTATATGTGTGAAAGAAATTTTCCAGACAGCACTAGGCTGATCAGCAAGAGTGGGAAGACCTTGTAATACACAGGGCAGTAGGTAGCGTCAGAGGCATAGCATCTTAGTACTGGGACTAAATTAGTCCCACAGTAAAGGCTGCTCTGGGCTTACCCTAACAAAAGTTAAAAGTTAGTCTTGGAAGGTTCCAAATTATCTTAAGTAATGTAACTGCACCAGAATAAAGTAAGTACTATTTAAGTACCACAAAATCCAGAACACGACAACACACAATTCACAATGCCTGGCATCCAATAAAAAAATTATCAGGCATGCAAAGAAGCAGGAGAATGCAATTCGTAATGAGGAGAAAATCGGTAATTAGAAAAAGATCTGAGATTTTTAGATAGGATACAAAAAGCATGAAGAATAAAAGAAAAAATATGATCAATTGGACATCATTAAAATTTCAAAATTTTGTCCTTCAAACAGTTTTCAAAAATGAAAAGAGAAACCACAGACTGGGAGAATTTATTAGTAAGATTTACACCTGACAGTGGGCCTGTTTCTAGAATACGTAAAGAACTCTTACAACTTAATAAAAAAGACAAACATCTAGATTTAAAGAGTGGACAAAATATTTGAGCACTTTACAAAGATGTACAAACGACAAATAAGAACATGAAAATATGTTCAATATCATTAATTATTAGGGAATTGCAAATTAAGAGCACATTAAGATACTCCTATATACCCACTACAATAGCTAAAATTAAAAAGACTGCCAATATCAAATGTCGGTGAGTTGTGGAGCAACTGGAACTCTCATCTATTACTGATGGAAATGCAAAACGGTACCATCACTTTGGAAAACAGTTCGATAGTTTCTTAACAAAGTTAAATTTAACACATACCATACTATCCAGCAATCCCACTCCTAAGTATTTACCCAAGAGAAATGGAAACATATGTCCCCACAAAGATTTGTATGCACATATTCATAGCAGTTTTATGCAAAATAGCCACAAAGTAGAAATAACTCTAATATCCATCAACAAGAGAATGGAAAAACAGATCGTGGTATAGCCATAAAATAGGACACTACTTAGCAATAAAAGGAATTAACTACTTACTGATACGTGTGACAATTTAGATAAATCTCAAAGATATTATGTTAAGTGAAAGAAGCAAAAAGACTATGTATCACATAATTCCATTTATATGAAATTCTAGAAAAGACAAAACTGTAGTGATAGAAAGCAGATCAGTAGTAGTGGGGGGCTACAAATTGAGGGAGAGTGTTGATGAAAAATGAGATGAGAGAACTTTTGGGGGTAAAAGAAATGTTTCTTATTTTGATTGTGCTGATGGTTACACAATTGCACACATTTGTCAAAATGTCTTTGTATTAGCTGTACAGTTATATTGGGAAATTTTATTTATATATATAAATTATCCCTGAAAAAACTTATTTACAAAAGGGTGTGATTAAGAATCATCTGAAAAGCATGTTAAAATGTATGTTCCTGGGCCCTCTTCCCAGAGAATCTGCTTTGGAAGTTCTCGAAATCTAAATTCTTAACAAATACTCATTCTGAATTAAAAAAAAAAAAAAAGTCTTATAAAAAAGAAAATAAGAAAAAAGGACATATATGTTTATGAAATGTTTATGAATAAGAAAAAACATCAGAAGGCAAGTCTTTCAAAAAGCTGAAATAGTATGGATAGATGAATGGGATTATGAGTGATTTTTTCTGCTTAATTTTTCGTTTCACAAAATATTACATTTAAGTTAAAAAAAAAAAAAGCAACCCTCTCTCCTCCACATTTTTGAAAGAAATGGAATAATCTAAACATCTGCTTAAAAAGCCCCTGACACTAAACATCCCTGCCCTGTTTCCATCCTCCTCAGGCCCTGCCCCTCTCCTACCCTCTTGAGGCTCCTCCGCCTGGTCCATCTCCAGTTTGGTCAGCAGGCTCACAAACCACTCAAAAGACTTCTGGTTTCGGTTGATCCAGATGAAATCCACCTAGGGAGAGAGGCTCTTGGGTTCAGAGGTGGGGTCTACCTTGTTCACAGCATGCTCATATTGTGATCCCCAGGGTCCATATGATCACTCTGGTGTAAGCAGGGCACACATTAGTATCTTCACTTAGCGAAGGGGAAAACTGAGGCTCACAGAGGGGAGGAGTCTTGCCCAGACCAGAACCCAGGTTCCTGACTGCCGGTTCAGGATTTTATCTAATAATCTATTGTTATAGCAAGCAATGTTCTACGACCTTAAGGTTAGGACAGTCAGATAAACATTACTTATTTTTTAAGAAACTCTTTGAAGTGGCCTATACAAAATAACGAATTTTCAAAAAGCAAACATGTTTTCATTTTTAAAACCACCATCAGGTGATGGCTAGTAAGTATAGCTGTAATGTATCTAGACTGCCTGACTTTCAAGCTCCTGGGTCTTTAATGAGATACCACTTTAGAGCGTCTCTCAGAGGTGACGAGGGGTGTGGGGGAAGAGGGAGGCCTGGACATTTAGAAGGCACCAGGAGAATTCGAGGCACTGAGAGAAGTGTACGTACCAGTGGATCCCAGCAGGGGAGAAGTCACCTGTTCCTTCCCTGCCTCTGCACAGGAGGGCCTGGCTTCTGCTCCAGGTGGTGACCCAGAGAGAGGGTCCCAGGCCTGCCTGCAGGATACCCTGCTCACCTTGTGGAGCTTCATGTCGTCATCCTGGATGCCCTCCATCCATGAGTGCTGGCAGTTGGGGCAAATGTGCTTTCTCTTCTGGTGCCTTAGGGGAGGCAGGAAGAGGAGTCTTGAATTTGGGGTGCGTAGGAGACTTTTTAGGACCTCGGAGAACAGTGCAGGGACAGAGAGGGAGGGTGGGCTAACAGAGCCCACTCTATGAGGAAGGAGAGGGATGAGACCCAGAAAAAGAGAAGGTGGAGGAGCAGGGGAGGGAAGAGAGAAAAGGAGGGAAGGAGACAAGTGAAAGGAGAGAAGGGAGGGAGAAAGGGGAGAATAAGGGATGGCATCTCTTGGGACTCTGCCCCAGGATGCAGGCCAGGGCCTTAGCCTGTGCACCCACCTGTACATGATGCTCTGCAGGATGGAAGCAAAGGGGGTGATGCCAATGCCAGCCCCAATGAGCACGGCATGCTCAGAGGCGAAGATCCTACGGGTGGGGGTTCCATAAGGGCCGTCAATGTAGCACTGTGCACCGGAGGGATTAGAGGAAAGAGAGAGGTGGGTGGGTGAGTGTGGGGAAGAGCTGGACCCGAAGGCTTCAGGACCCCCCTTATACACAGGCAGTCGTCTCCTGGGCTGGACCAGATCTAAGTGGCTCCCACTCCTGCGCCCTGAGCACACGTCTGGGAGAGCCCTAGAAGGTCAGAATGATGAGAGCAGGGCCCAGCCAGCATCTCTGTGTGCACCTATGATGGGAGGGTTTGGTTTCTTTCTGTAGATACCTGGAAGTCAGTCCGGAGGACTTGAGGGGCTTGGGCACTGACAGCTGCAGCAAGCCCTCTCTACAGGCAGGTTGGGGCAGGGGGTCCTGGAGCCTCTTACCTTGATGTTACAGAATTGGTGGTTCTCAAGGGACATTTCAGAGACCTGTGGAGAGTAGAGAGCTGTGGGTCTCTGGGAGCGGGCATATCGGGCATTTCTCAGAGGCTTCCTACACTTTGCCTGTCTGAACAACTTTACAAAAGGGGAATTGCCTTTTCCGCCCCAACTATTCCTGAAAGCATGGAGCCCTTTTGAGGGAGAACATAAGTGGTGTTCTGGAAAACTGACTCTTCAACAACAACAACAACAACAACAACAAACTCCCAATTGCTAGTGTTTGTTGATTTCTGGTATAAATGCTGCCATCACGGCTCTCACGAATGATTGTGTTTAATAACTAGCCCTCAAAATTTCTGGAAATTTTATAGTCGGCTCTTGTGGTCTGATACAAGTCAGCTTCAGGACGTGCCTGGACAGCACTCACCTCCAGTTACATTTTCGACTCTGTCTCCAGCCATTCCCAATAACTTTCATGTCTCTAGATACATCCCTGACCTTGAACATTCTTTTCCCTCGACCTAGAACATCCTTTCCTCTGACCCAGCTGGCAAATTCCTGTGCATCCTTCAGTGTCCACCTCCTTTGAAGTGGCTGCTCCTCCTGGAAGTTTGCCCAGCTGTACCAGTGGCTGACCTGGCTCACAGCTCCACTCCATTCTTGGGACCCTGCTCTGGGCTAGCTGACAGGGAGCAACCTGAAGACAGGGTGCAGGCCTGCCTGACTCCTCTGGGTCTGAGCAAGGGTAGAAGGTCCGACCAGATTTATCAAGGTCAAATTCTGGAAGGTGAAGGAAATGGACCCCCAAACAGGCTGCAGGGATACATCACTCTCTGGTGCCAGAAGGCAGAGTGAGGAGTGACCTTCACAGTCATCCAGGCCAGTCCCTCATTTCACAGGAGAGGAGCTGAGTCTGAGAACCCAGCAATGAATCGCCCAAGTTCTCCCAGAGCCTGCGCCTCTAGCTGCCCGTCCAGGGCTCTTCACATTCCTCCATGTCACTTCTTTGTCTGTGTTCAACTGACCGCTATGTTCCCCATGGTGTTGGACGTGAACTACTTGTGATTTGGGGAGACATGCTGTGAGAGCTAGTGATCCCTTTCGATTCTTCGTTAATCCTTCTGATTGCAAAGAGAAAGCCTTACATCACAATTACTTTATCTTTAACCCTTACTAATCTCTCCTCTTTTTTTCCTTCTAATAAAGTGAGAAAGATTGAGCAGGAGAGAGGGCGTGAGCACATGAGCAGTGGAGTGAGCAGTGAAGGCTCAGCGCCTTAGCAGGCAGAAGCCTCTGGCAAACATTCAATAACATTGGTTTTCAGTGTTTTTACTTTTAGAGCTATCTTCTGTTTATGACACATGCTACTAGTTTTCCATTAAAGATAGCCATCGAAAGAGTCCTTTTTAAATACAATTAAGTTTAAAATAATGTTGGAATGTAAAGAAAAATGTTAGGTAGGAAATATTACCACTGGGAAGTAAATATGACAAAAGTTATAAAGGTGATACACAGATGACTGGCTGCAGAAACACCATGCAATGTGCGGTGCTTCCTGAACGTGGCCTTCCCGTGAGGCCCTCTCTTCCAAGTTCTAAGGACCTGCTGTCCCTGGGGAGACAAACCACTGGCTCTCCAGCCTCCAGCCCCAGCTTCCTCAGCCTTACCAGAACCTGGTTGCTTGCTGAGGTTCCCCACTGAGCCTGAATCCTGTCCTTTGTCCCCGTGTGCACCAGGCCTTCATGTCCCTGCCACGGAGTTCCCTCAGGACTGTAGGATGTCAGCTCCACCGTGACATCTTTTTGGGAGGACACTGCTTCCTGTGCCAGGGCCCCAGAAAAGAGGGGCTGGGGTTGGAAACCCTGTTTGGTTTCGAAATGAGAATTACTTTATTATTTAAATCACAAAATTAATACATGCTAATTTTAAAGATTCAGGTATTACAGAACGTGAAAAAGTGCCCTGAATCAGACAACATAACTTCTCTAAACATTTTCTCTCTGTCCTTCCAGTCTCAGTATCTCTCTCTCTCACGCGCACACACACACCACACTTTTACATAAATGAAAACAATGCTTTGTTACCTGGCTTTTCCACTTACTACATCTTGACTAGCTTTCCATGCTTTCCAATGCATACATTTTTCTAGGTGACCTATTATCCCATTATAATGGTAATCAGTCATTATTTAGCTACTTCCCTATTGCAGAATTTTGATTATCCTCATTTTCTCATTTTTGTTAACAATCACCATACATAAAATAGCACCTTTTCCATCTCTATCATTTACTCTGATTTATTTTTCTCCATAGCATTTATTATCACTTGACACAGTATGTATTTATTTTGTTTGTTGTCTATCTTTCCAGAACATAAGCAGTGACTGTGTTTATTTTGCTTATTGATATATTGCTAGCATCTAGAACGGTACTCGGAAAACAGTAGGTGCTGTGCTCAGTAAATATTTGCTAAATGAATGAATGAACAAGGTGATTAAAATACTTCTTGTGCACCTGTCCAATTAGCTTTTTAGGATAAATCCCTAAAAATGGAACTGCTGGGCCAGTGGGTATATATATTTAAAATGCTGACACATATGGCTAGACTGCCAGAAAGATTGTGCCAAATTATTCTTTGGCAGAAGTACCTAAGGTCCCAAGGAAACACAGCTTTTAATGGATCTACCCACCAATTCCCAGTGGGCCGTGACCCGCCTGGTTTTGAAAGTCAGCTTCCTCCTTCAGAAAGTTTCCCCTGATTAACAGTAGAGAAAGCTCTGTTTCTACTTACTCTTCCATTTCCCAAAGCTTTACTCTTGGCACCGTTCTAGAAGGGTCCTTTAGCCTGGCCAGGCAGGATGCCACCTGGTTTTCCCACCAGATTTTAATTTCTGCTAAGGTAAAACAGGGCTGGGCCAGGTCCAGGGTCTTCTCTTTTTTTGACCTTTAGCAGGGTTTCCACACACGAACCTATCTCCCAGCCTGGTCATACAGCCTACTAAGTGTCCAGGCACCCTCAGCCTCCTTCATCTATTCTTACTTCTTCAAGTGCTGTTCTTATTTTCCTGTATTCCTCCGAAACCCCCCTAGAGCCTGTATTCACTCTAGGCACTAGCAACTTGTCAGCTTTGTGGGTTTCATCAGGACTCAAAAGACAACAATGGTGATGCTAATATTGATACTGGTGATGATAATGGCGTTGATGGTGATAATGAATGGTCCACCAGGATCGAGCTGCCCAGTTCACTCAATATTCTACGGGCATTCATTCCATTGGTCTTTAAAAGAATCTTGTGAAAAAAGGAAGCTGAGGATGGGAATTACTCCTAATTCATGAACGAATAACCCGAGGCTCAGAGAGGTTAAAGGATGAGCCTATGGCCCTACAGTCAGCAAACACTGGAGCAGAGACACAGAGTCGAGTTCTTCTGATCCCAAATGCCCTTTTTTCCATTGGCCCTCACTTTCTAATGAAGGACATGGACTGGGGAGGGTCTGGGGTGCTCAGGCTTCCAAGGACCACACAGCCTGCAGCTGCCTTGTCCCTCATGCTGCCATCGAGCCAGTGTACACAACTGCTGCTGCTCAATATTTGGTGCCCGCCAACTCAGAAGCAGCTTGGTCCCAGTGGGTTCGCCACCACTGTAGACCCTTCCTTCCCCACAGCCACCAACCTGAGGCCTCCTCTGGCTCCTTCTCATTTTCAAACTCCTCGACAATCTCTTGGAGCCACAGCCCACTGGGTCTGATGCCTTGAAAGACTCATACAGCCTGTTTGTCCACTGGCCTTGGGACCGGATGTGTAGCCAGATGGTGTCTGAGCAAAACATAAGGGTGCGGTGAATGCTGGGCTCCAACAAGGAGCAGGCCTGTCTCCCCTGGGTGGTTGGGGCTGGGTATCCACTGTTCAAGTCCCAGGTTGGATGCTCTTCCTCAGATCCAGACTGGCAGCCACAGTCACAGGACATGGAGATCAGATCTCTCTGGTGCAGACCTTGCAAATTTTCTCAGTGAAGTCAATCTAAGCCTACGCAATAAGGGTTCAGTCTCCTCTGCCAGGGCAGGCGTCAGAGCGGCCCCGAGTGTACTAGGAGTTCCCTGGGGGTGGGGGCCCTGCTTCTTCCATCAGGCTAGGGTTTCACCAACATGGGGACCATCTCCCTCCCACATTCAACCAGGTGCCTGTCAATGGCTCTGCACATAGTAGGTGCTCAACAGGTGGTGGGACCAACATCTTTCATTGTGCCCAGTGCCTGGGATGTAGCAGGTGCTTACTAAGATTCTCTGCTGAGTGGATGACTGGCAGAAAGGGGATGTGGGTGACTACGCCTCTGCTGAGGGGGACAGAGAGAATCCACACATTAAGGTGAGGAGGTCCCTAAGAGTTTTCCTAGTCTGGGGTTCTTACCCCTTTTCTTTTATTTTAAACCATGAATTATTTGGGGCAGTTCTTTGAAGGCAATGGATAGATTCCTTCTCAGGATAAGGTTTTTAAATACATAAAGTAACATACATAGATATTATAAATGAAACCAGTTATGAGACAGTTATCAAAATATTAAACAAGCAAATGTGTGATTTAAGAATACAAGTGCTTCTTTGTTAACACGTGAAATAACGAGATCCAGAGAGAGTCTCGTGGCCACCGGAAATCTGAAGCAGTGATGAGGTATCGGCAACATCTGTCATGTGATATAAAGGAATCTACACTTTTTATTTCGAAAAGTCACAAGTATTGTTAACATTACTGTGGTTTGTTGTCTGCATTCATAATTGAAGAAAAGGCTGAATTTCAGCTAGAGGTTAGTGAAAATAAAGATGTCACTTTTTTTCCCCTTATCCAAGTTCATGAATGAACTTGTTCAACCCTGTAATACAGAGGCCCGGAGTGGTGTGTATGTACTCTCACAGCTTCGTGCGGAGTGAACTGAAAAGTCAAGACTGCAGCTCAGGTCCTCGGACCTCTGCTCCCACATACCTCTCTGAGGCATCTTTCCCCTTCAAGGTGCAAGTGCCAGGAAGGTTGAGCTATGCCTTGTCTACACGAATGCAACCTGAAGTCCCTCACCCAGTAACTCATATGTAAAAGGCCTCCATAAATGTTGGTTGAATTCAATCGGCCACAGCTGCCAACCTGATTCCCACTCTTGATTTCTGTAAACAAGCTCTGTAAACAAAGTCGGAATATTTACCAGTCCCCATATGGACTCACTAAGCTTGTTGCAGGAGACGTGGGCTCAAGAGATAGGCAAATTCCAAGCCGAGCCCCTGAAGAAACCCCCTCAAGAATTGGTCAGATAAATGATCCATCATATAGTAAACACAGCCATTATAATCAGAGTCATAGCTATATACTGGAATACTATGCAGACATGAAAAGGAAAAGTTCTTTTTTTTCCGAAAGAACTGACATGCAAAGATCTTCACAACATTCTGTTCTCCAAGAAAAGTGGGCCGCAAAACAGTGTGAACAGTCTGATCCCATGTGTGCAAAACTATCTCTGTATCTGATTACCCATGTAGATATAGAGAGATCTGGAAGGCTGTTCAGCAAAAAGAATGACAATAGTTTTTTTTTAATTTGAAGGATTTTAATTTTCTCCTGTACATATTTCTATATCGTCTGAATTTTCCGAGAGCACATTATCTTCTTTAGAGAACAGAAAAGGGAAGAAAAATAGGAAGAAAATAACTCACCCTCTCCAACCCCCATGCTTACCTTCATCCCGTTGCACATCCAGGCCACCACTCAGGTGATTCCAGGGCAGGTGGTGTGCAGCCTAACAAGGAGAACCTCCACCTTGGGTCTGTGCCCTGAGCTGCGGGAGCTGGGTCCTGCTGGGCTCCAACTCAGAGGCATCCTGAGTGAAGCTAAAGCTTTTAATGGGGATGGGTCAGAGAACTCCTTTACCCATCATGATGCCAAGCAAGGGTCTCACTGTAATAGGCCACGGAAAGCCTTTCCTGTCAGAAGCACCAGTAAAGTGGGTAGGCCAGGAACACAAGGAAAGTACACTCATGGGTGGGGGTCAGCGGACAGATGGGCGAAGAGAGGGTCTGCTGAGCCGTTCTATGGGTGTGGGGAACCCACAGAGAAATGAGAGTGGTACAGGGCTGTGGGAGAAGGGTGTGAGGCAGTCTGCTGCCTGGGGGTCCACAGGGCTCATGCCCACAGGGAGCGGGGAAGTCCCGGCTTCTTGTCACAGCCTCCTTGAAAGTGCTCTGAGCCCTTTCAGAGAAAGGTACCCCTTTCTCTGAGCCAGCTAGTCCTCTGCTTAAGATCTCTGTGGGCTCCCAACTGCCTGTGCCATCCAACTTTGCTTCCGACTCTGTATTCCAAGTCTTCCTTGGTCCCACCCTGGCTCTAATTGGCTTTGCCAGCCACATTGTCTGCCTTTCAATCTTATTCTGACTCTCTTTCCTGTTCTCCCATGCTCTCTCTGTCCCTCCCTTCCTTCCTCCCTACCCCACCCCCACCCTTAACTCTAACTTCAGACTATTCCATGTTTCCAGGTTTTTATGCTTTTGCCTATGCTTCTCCCTCTGCCTCCTCTCCCAACTTCCTAGTCCAGTAAACTCTGACTAATCTTTCAAAGTTCAGCTGAAATGTCACATGTCTGTGAAGCCTCGCTCACTTATCCCACCATGCCAGGCCCTCTTCTGTGACCTTCGCAGCACCTGGTACAGCCCTGACCATACCATTCAGTAAGTGTTTGCCTGTCTGCCTCTTTGTTTCAGAGGGAGCTTTCGGAGGTCCACTTTGCAACTGTGGTCTTGTTTACCTCCATGCGCCTGGTTCCCAGCCCGTGCTTGGCACGCGGCAGAACTCAGTACCTGTCTGAATGACTGGAGGAGTTGGCTTACCTCGCTGCTCTGGAGCACTGCTGATGGTGAAGGGGTGCCACTCGTAGCGAGCAATAGTGGGGATGTTCAGATACAAGTAATCGCCAGGTCTGTAGTTGAAAAGAGGGGGCCTCTTGATGAGAAGATGAGTCACCTGGGGAGACAAGGAGATCGGCATCATTTGTACAGACCCAAAGCTGCCAGGAGGGCAAAGGCTGGGCCGTTCTCCACTATACACCAGGCCAGCCCAGATAGGAGACCCTTCTGTGCCTGTGAGTGGGGGCCACCCCTGCAGCACATCTGCCAACCAGGGATGGGCAAAATTCAGAGAAGGGAAGAGTCAGGCTGTGTCTGGAGTAAGGATCATGGTTCAATCCCACTTATGGCATAAATGCTGTTGTTCAGCAGTCCCTTCCTCTGTGAAGTCCCGCTGACTGCTCTAGCCCCTTTCTTGGAACTACTGTAGCACTTGGCCAGCATCCCAACCACTAATGGACACCTCCCCTGAGATAACAACATCCTTCCAGAAGATAGCTTCCGTTTATTCAGCACTTACTGTGTTCCAGAGCCTTGTGGAGTACTTTCTTACTTCTGGTTCTCACGGTAACTCTCTAAGATGAATGCCATACTTTTTTCACTTTACGGATGAAAAGCTGAGGCTCAGAGAAGTTAAACAGCTTGCTCAAAGCCACCAGGTAGGAAACCATGGGATCTGAATCCAATCACAGCTGTCTAATGCTAGAGCCTAGACGTAAACCACACTCTCATTATTTAGCTTCTATATCCTTACACTTCAGTTGTCCAGGGCCGAGTCCACCCAGAGCTGCCTTCCCTTTCTCCATAAATTTGTCATTTGGACACGTGGGAGTCCTAGCCTCCATTCTCTCTCTCACCCCAAAATGTATCCAGTTACCTCGTGAGTCTTTCTGTGATATGCCCTCTCCTCATCCCACAACCTCTGCCCCAGGGTCGAGTCCTTCATGAGCCCTCATCTACCTATGTGCAAGAGCCTCCTAAATGGTCTTCTCCAAGCTGTCTTCTTCAAAGCAACTAAAGGATCTAGCTGGAATATAAACTATCTTGATACCACCACCCTTCCTCCACCCTGCTCAGGGGTTCCCCATAGCCTACAGAGTGAGAGGCTCCATTCATCATCAGGCCCTGCCCATCCCTTCAGCAACACCCTTCCCTGTCTTGTCTATCCAACAAATTCCTACTCATCTCTCGAAACCCTGAAATGGCATCTCCCACATTCTGAAGTCTTCTCTAACCTCTCAAAGACAAAGGGACTCTACTTCTCTCACCAACACAGCCCTGCACTGTGATGAAAAGGCCGACTCCCTGCTAGCCTGTGGACCTGTGGAAAGCAGGAGAGTGCCTGAGCTTTCTCTGTGTCTCTGTCACCTAGCGCAGGGCTTGCCATCTTGCAGGTACTTAATATATGCTAACTGAGCATGTTCTATGCAGACCTGGCCTTAAGTACCTGTCATTGCCCTTCCTATGGTGTCACTCCTGAAGGACTTTGCTTATCTCCTCCACTGTGCTGGGGTTCCCTGTTTCCTTGGGCATCCAGCTGCTGTACCCTACCACCACCTGCACTCCCTTTGCACCTTGGAGGGAAGGAGATTGACTTCCACAATGCATAGGGCTGTCATGCGGGACACCACCAGTCCGATGGCCTTCTCCAAGAAGAACAAGGTGCCGGGGATCAGCAGCCACTTCCAGAAGTTGGGTCCATGTAGGATGAGCAGGAGCCACATAGGGAGGTAGGACAGGTGGGTCCAGTAGAACACCTGTGGGTGTGAGGGGAGTAAGCTGCCAGAGCTCAAGGCTTGGGGTGGAACAGAGCCAGGGCTCAGGGCCATCCTTTAAAGCACAGTGCCCAGAGCCCTGGCCCTACACACCTTCTCCTGGGGACTAGGCTGGGTAAAAGGTTGGGAAGCTTCCTTGCTTCTTCGTTCTGGGGGCCTGGCCCAGGGAGCCTGTAAGGGAAGATTCCCGGTGCCAGCAGCAAACATCTGAAACATCTGCCTGAAGATGTTCTGGGCAAAGTGGAGCACCCTCAAAGGGTCACCAATGGCCCATCACACTGACCCTTTCTCAGGGAAGGGGGCGGGGGATGAAAAAAAAGACAGTTTTCTGGGAGTAGAGAAGAAAGAGCTGAGTGCTGAATTTTAATACCCGCCCTGATACTAGCTTGGGACCTTGGCCTGATATATTACTTTTCTGAGCATCAGATTCCTCATTGGTTAAATGAGGATACTGATTCCTACTTTAAAGGATTGTTGCTGACCCAGAGTAGGTGCTCTGCACATTTCTGATATGATCAGATTAGTCCAGGGGTCAGCCAGGGTTCTAATTCTCTGTGACTTCCTGTGTCTTGAGGAGGCTAGAGAGAGGAAAGCAAAGAGGAAACTAACATGTTCGGAGCACCTAGGAAATGAAGGTGGGAGCCCAGCCTGGGAGAGGCAAAGGGGCAAGGGCAGGGCACCTCAAAGTGGCCACTCCTGCGGATGCAGGGGCTGGAGCAGACGAACATGAGGAGCAGCAGCAGCAAGAGTGCCACGCCGGTCGGGGATGCCAAGCCATGGACCCAGCCGATGCCAGGCCTTGTGGTGAGCAGCAGTTCCCAAAACTGGAAGGGGCTAGACTCAGACTGAGCCCGGAGTGCTGGAGACAAGCACAAGACAAGCTCTTTCCACTCCACGTGCCCTCTGTGGTCCCCACTCCGCCCCCATAAGAAACCCGTGTACGCAGGGACTTTCATCCAGAGCACCGGCTTATCCAGGCACCCCTTTTCCACCCACTGAGCAGGAAGGACACATGAGGGCTGGGTAACTGAGTGGTCTGAGAAAGACTCGGCTCCCACAATCTCCCCAGCCCCGGGGCCACTCACCGAAGTTCACAATGTGGGCCACAGTGTGCACAAGGGAGAGCCCGACAACCACGTAGCCCATAAGCTGGTGGAACTGGATGTTTTGGTCCAGAGGCAGGACCTGAGCCAGCCATGTGGCCCGCAGCCATGTGAGGCTGCGCCTGAGCATCAGCACCTGGCAGGCAAAGCAGCAGAGAGCCTCAGCTGGCTGTCTCGCTGTCCTCTCCTCCGTCCCCAGCAGTTGTCTTCCTGAGCTGGCTGGGCTTCCTGAAGGGGCCCCATCACCATCCCCCTCACCCCCAAGCCTGGGCCCACAGCTGGGGTCTCTAAAGTAGAGTCTCCAGAATTAGAGCAGGAAGAGAAAATGTTACAGAACACTTGCCAATATTACTTTTACCTAAACACATGAAAGGCACATGTGCTTTTACTAATATTTAATATCTATGTTGACATGGTGCCCTCATTTAGTCTATATGTCAGATGGGCACATGTCACGTATGGTTCTCGAGGTGTCCTGGAGGAAGACCTGGCTTTTTAAGGGACTTTTGATGAGGAGTCCCTCACTTGCTCTTTTGCTTTCAATGTAATTCTGCACACCTGGATGTGTGGATGTGCAGATTACATTGTCAGGTTTTAATTTAACTAAGCTAATTGCTCCTCACAGAAAGCACAAGTAGCTTAAAAATGTTCACTGCAAAGAAAGTGCAGATTGAAAATAGTATTAATAATGCAATAGCAAGTGACCAAGAAAATGAGTCATGTGTCTCCCACTCCTGGTATGAACTTTTTATAGCCAGTTATGAGGTTAAAAATACAATCCACACTAATCAGAAGCTGATAGTATCAAGATGAGTATTTAAACCAGAGATGTACATCCCTGATCATTAAGAACAAACCTTGCCTTATAGTTATATTGTGCCATAAGTCTATTGGTTAATGATAATACAGCATGCATATAATTATAAGTAAATGAACATATATTAGGTTATTGGAAAGGTCTTTGTTTTCTGTTTGTTTTTGTTTTGTTTTGTTTTCATTGTAGGAGTGTGCAAAAATGCTCGGTGACCTCACTCCCTGGCCCAGAGGATCAATAACATTGATTCTCTAGTCTGACATTTGAAGCCTCTTGAAGTGCTCCCTCTGGTTGGAGCCCTACCCAGGAGCCAGCCCCACTTCCTTGGGATCCACCACAGGGTTGTTGTGCAGATCAAATGGACGGTGCTTAGCATCCTAATTAGAACATAGTAAAGGGCACAACAATGCTAGCTGTGCTATTTATGAGCTGTGTGATTATGGACAAGCTACTGTCCCTCTCTAGGCCTCAGTTCCCACCGCTGAGTGTCACTACAGTTGATTTCTAAGATGTCATCCTGCCCTGGCACTCCAGGTGTCCACGCCACGTGTGGGTCGTTTTGTCTCTGAGGAGCCTACATCAACTCCCTGCCCACTTCCCTAAAGGGCCCTCACAGCCCTACCGCGATGAGGCTGCAGTCAAAGTTGAGGCATTGGCCACAGCCCTTGGCCACCATGACGCTGACGCCGAGGGCCCGGTGTGCGCTAGCTGCCAGCGCGAATAGCAGCACGTGGAGGCCCACGTAGGCAGTCAAGCAGAGGAGCTGGCTGCGGTGGTTGTGCCAATAGGCGGAGGTCAGTGGGCGAGGCCGGTACGGGCACGGCTGAGCAGTGGGGGGCTTCAGCCAGTGGGCAGCGCTGCAAGAGAGGGGCTCCAATCAAGACGGATGCGGTGGGGCGTGCTGGGGTCGGAAAGAATCTGGATGGGGTCTGATGGGACCACTGGAATCTGAACCTAGAGACCCACTCCCTCTGTAGCCCCCTAACTCTTTGGAGCCTTGTAGCAAGCGGGCCCCTTCCTTTCAGAGTAGAAAACAGCTCAAGCGACTTGCTTAGTTACACAGCTGGGTGAAGCTGGGATGGAACTCTGGTCTGTCTGATGCCACATCTGTGGCTATTTTTATTACCTCTCCTTACTTCCCAACTGGGGAGGGGGGGGTGGGGAAGGGAAGGGGCCGGGAAGGCATTGGAAGAGGATAGGAGAATTTGAGAAGTGTTATGGCAAATAACCTACAAGAAAGTTTATACACAAAGAGAATGAACTACAAACCTGGCACTATTCAGAGCTTGGAGTCAGACAAACTTGAGTCTATTACAACCTATTTATATTATTTCTCCACAGCCCTTATCACATTTGTATTCCTTTAGTTATGTATTTGTTTGATATAAATTACATGCAGCCCCAGCAGGGCACCGCCATTATTCAGAATAGTGGCTGGTACACAGTAGCTGCTTGACCGAGTTGAATAAATGACTGCCTTTTCAAATTACTTGTGTGATCCTAGGCATATTCAGGTGAAGTAACTTTAATTTCCTTTTGTAACTTTAATTCCTTTTATAACTTTAATTTCCTTTTACAAATGTACCAGTTTATGCCCTGCACATAGTAGGTGCTTAATATTGAGTTGATTCTGAAGCGACACAGTAGACAAGGGAGGTATGACAATAGCCACCCTGCAGGATAGACCTTTGTCCCCTATGAAAAAGTGAGCAAGACTGGGCTAAGCTGGTTTGGGGCACGGTGGTGTAGGGCGGGGTTGGGCTGTAGACCCGCTAGGCTGGGCTCGGCTGGGCTCAGCTGGGCTAAACTGGGCTGAGCTGAGCTGGGGTAACGGGGCGGGACTGAGAGATCGTGAGTGAGTTCAGGGCACTCTTCGCACCTGGAGTGTAACCCAACGCGTGCAGTGCCCACGTCGGAGACCGGGCTGTACCTGATGGTCAGGTTCTCCATGACCCCGGGGAAGCGCTGCAGTTCGTCTCGGAGCTCGTCGAAGGTAATGGTACCACTGCAGTCCTTGTCGGCCGACTCGAAGAGCGCCAGCGTTAGCTGGTCCAGCTTCTCCTCTGGCAGCGAGATGGCACTCTCCCGCAGGCACGACTGCAGCACCGTGCGCAGCTCGTCCGCGTCGATGGAACCGCTGCCTGTCCCAAGTGGGGATTAAGCTGAGTGTGGGTGCCTGCTCCCAGACCCCACTCTGAACCTGCAGACGCCCCTGCCCTGCACGATCATTGCATGGAGTGATGAACTTTTCCTGATCGCCCACCTTCATCCTCCCACCAACCAGCTCCCTTCCGCCATATAGACCAGGCAGTCAAAGGACCCAAGCAGTCATAGGACATGTGTCACCCTCGGCTCACAAACTTTCCATGGCTTCCTACTGCAGAGCTCAACAGAAATTAACGCCTTCCCAAGCACGGACAATCTTCGGCCTTGGTGCACGCCTTTCTGCAGAATCTGCAGCCTCCTCTCTAAGAACCATGGAACATCTAGGACCAACTGCTCAGAAGATACACTTGCTTGCTTAATCTATAAGGAGCTGTGTGCCCAGAGCCTCAGCTCTCCAGAGGCAAATCGAATATGAAGTTGTGATGAGGGAAAGATCCCTGTTGTTCCCCAGCTTGTAGCAGACTCTGCTCATCGGTATTGTCCTGACAGGCCACATCTGGGCTCGCAAGTACAGCATGTGGCCTTATGTGAACATGAGTGGCTGAAAGCGATGTGAAAAGGAAGCCAGAACTATTAACTGAGATGAAATTTGGGGCATTTTTTTCTGTACATATTTTCATTCTTCAGGAGCAGGAGGACCCATCATTAATGATTCTTTGGCCTGCTTTGGATAGACATACTTGTGGCAACATTCTTCGGCTTCATATTAGCTATGTGATGCTGGGCTATAAGGCATTTAGAGTAGTGAAGCTTATTTTGCTTGTCTCAGAAATTGGAATAATAATTCTTCCTTTTATGAACTGGTTCAAGAATGAGAGATAATTAATTACAAAGCACTTAACGCAGTATTTAGAAGAAGGTAGTAGCACATAAATGCAAAGTCTTCTTACTTTTGTGATCATCATTTGGGTCAAAGCCAAAGTCTGTAATCCAGTACAGAGTCTAACACATCACTCTCCAGCCACACCTCCTATCCTCAACTTTCCTAGTCAAGAGCCACCATGCAACAGGTTTCTGACCACATCCAGAATGCCAGTCCCTCCCTTGCACCCTGCACACCCTCTCGTCTGTTGAGCTGTATTCTCTCCTTGGGCAGTGCAAATCCGGGGTCCTCCTTCACAAGTATCCTCATGCATACATTCTTCTTCCTTATCCCTCTATCCTTCTGTCCCACTGGCCTTAAATATATCCCATCTCTGGGTGAATTCAACCACCTGTTTTCTCCTTTCCTACACCAGTCCCTGCACCAGTCCCCGAGAGGGCAGGAAGTATTTGATCCCCAGCCACAGCAAGACCTGCAACTTGCCGGACAGGCCTCTTCTACTTCTCTGTTAAGATCGCTCTCACATTGCCTGCAAGAAGCCCTGTCTTCTTCCCACCTCTGTCTTCGAGAATGTAAGTGGGCTGCTTCCTCCTGTTACAAGCCAACCTCTCCGTCAAACCTCAGGTATGAGCAAACTTGGTGGTCAGAAAACAGTCAGTGAAGAGGATCCCATGATGACTGGAAAGGGGTCTGAGGAGGATGCTTGGGAAGCAGGCATGGTGAATTGCCCATGGAGGGAGATGGGGGGGAGGGGGCGGGCAGGCTGTCAACTTAGGGAAAAGGGTTCCAGGAATGAGGTCTGGCTAGATTGGGAATGGGAGCCAGAGAAACCCCACAGGCCAGAAGGCCTTGCCCAGGAGCAGGCCTGCAGCTAGGCTGAGCTTTTCAGGATGGAAATCCAGCCCTGTGTCTCCCCTGCTCGACACTCTGTGATGGCTCCACATTGCTCACTGCACTGAGATTGGGGCCTGTGTAGTCTGGCCTCACTCGCCATCCTGGTCTCATTGAGTACCTCTTTCCCATTTCAGCTTGTTTTGCTCTGATGAGTCCAAGCCTTCTGAGAACTTTTAAGCTACAAAGTCACCAAAGATGTAAACACCAGAATATTCATTGCAGCATCATTTATAATGCCCATTCCCCCTACCCCCAGAGGAGGACAAGAAAGGATTTCTCCATTTTGGTAACAGGGTCTGTGTAAATAATGATAAACAGCTGATATTTATAAAGGGTGTACCTATACTAGGCACTGTTCTGAGTTTACATAAGTTAACTAATTTAATCTTCATATAAACATCATGAGTATGTAGTATTACTATGACCATTATTCTCATGTAATACATGAAGAAATTGAGACATGAAGGAACTTGTCCAAGGTCACCTGGTTAGTAACTGGCAGAGCTGAGATTTGAGCCTAGGTAAACTGGCCTCAGAGTCAGAAATCTTAACTACTAGGCTGTGCTACATGGAACATGGGATCAATACATATAGTGGGGTATGATACAGGCACTAAAAACAATGTTATAACTACGTTGACTTACCATTTCACACCCACTAGATTTGCTATTATAAAAAAAAAAAATCTGGCAAGGACATGAAGAAATTGGAACCCTTGTGCATTGCTGGTAGGAATATAAAATGGTGCAAAAAAGTATGGCAGTTCCTCAAAAAATTAAAAATAGAATTGCCGTATGATCCAACAATTCCACTTCTGGGTTATATGCCACAGGAATTGAAATCATAGTCTAAAAGAGCTATTTGTATACCTATGTTCATTGCAGCATTATTTGCAATAGTCAAGAGATGAAAACAACACAAGCACCCACTGATAAATGAACAGATAGACAAAATGAGATACATATGTACAATAAATTATTTGTTATTCAGTCTTCAAAAGAATGAAATCTTGTCACCTAGTACAACACGGACCTTGAAGACATTATGCTAAATGAAATAAGCTAGTCACAAAAGGACAAATATTGTGTGATTCCACTTATATGATGTACCCAGAAAAATCAAATTCATAGAGACAGAAAGTAGAATGATGGCTGCCAGGGTTGGAGGAGAGTGTAATGGGAGTTAGTGTTTAATGGGTACAGAGTTTTAGTTCGGAAAAGCAAAAAAGTCCTGGAAATAGATGGTGGTAATGGTTGCACAACAATATGAATATACTTAATGCTGCTAAACTGTACACATAAAAATGGCTAAAGTGATAAATTTAATGTTATGTATACTTACTACAATAAAAATGATGTTATAAAGCAGTATAGTCTTACATGAACAAACCTTCATATTGTTTAGTAATAAAAGACAATATGTATAGTATAATCCTCCTTTGTTTTAAAAATGTGCGTGTGTGGTCAGTTAGAAGACAGTATAGAAAAATATCATGGGTAATTTTTGCTTTCTTATTTAAATTACTCTATTATTTAAAATGTTCACTGTGGGCTTATATTATTATTGTTATAAAGGAAAAGCAACAAAGAGATTTCTTTTTCAAACATAGAAGGAAAAAAAGGAAAGCTCTGGTTTCTGGTGAGTTGAAACAAGGGCATTTGCCTCCTGGGCCAGAGTCCTCTCTTCTCCCCCAGTCCCCACAAAGGGGAGGCAGGGACCAGACAGAGAGGCTATAGGTGTGGCGTTGGATACAGAGAGAAAGAACTGTCAGCCTTACCTGGAGAAAACGGCCCTGTGCTGGGCACGGCACAGAGATGGGCATGGCACAGAGATGTGCTGATTCCCTTTTTCCCCTCCCACTGAGTCCCCTCTCTCCCAGAGAGTCCTTACCATCGATGTCATACACCTGGAAGAGAAATTTGAGTTTGTCCATGGGGTTGCCGTGAATGAGCAGGTTCAGAGCCTCCTTCAGCTCCTGGAGGGTGATGGTGCCACTTCCATCTGAGTCAAACAGGGCAAAGAACCGCTCCGCAAAGAAGGGCTGTGATGGGAGAAGGGTGGAGACAGGGCGGTGGGATTCAGACAGGACTCTAGTGCTATCCGCCAACAAGGCCACACCACGACTTCAGTGTCCATGGCCCATCCCGCCTGCTAAGAGCAAGTTTGGGCTCTGGTGGAAGAACTATTCAGAACTCTACAGTGAAGATGCACTTGTGTCTGGGGCTAAGGCCCCCTTCTGGCCCCTGGGCCTGGGCATTTGTATAAGCTCTGTGTCCCTACATACCATCATCTTCATCAGCCTTGCAGTCCTGACCTCTGGTGGCCCGTTACTCAACAGGAGAAAGGGTCAGACAGAGGATCCCCCTGCAGGGTCTCCCAGGTCCTGTCTATCCCCCTTAGGGTGACCTCCAGAGAAAAGTAAACCCTGAGAAGAACTTATAGAGTAGATGTCACTTGAATACCTGTGTCTTTTCCTTGTTGTTTACACTGCCTACAATATACACTTAAGACTTATTCCTAAATGCCAATTCACTCTTTCTTCCTCTCTCTCTCTCTCTCTCTCTCTCTCTCTCTCTCTCTCTCTCTCTCTCTCTCTCTTTCTTTCTTTCTTTCCTTCTTTCTTTCCTTCTTTTTTTCATCATGTCCTGCATAGCCCCTCCTTGCCAGGTCTGATGTTAGGCACTGGAAAAGCAAATTAAGAAAACAGGCTGGGTCACTTCCAGCTCTGCTGTGCCCTGAATGCTGTCCTCCAGGCAGGGAGAGAAGCCTGCAGGGATTTTGTGTCTGACCTAAAGAAACCATGAGTTCACATGAAGCATGAAGTCCAGTGTGGACAGTCAAGCCTGCTCTGGCTTTACTCTTTTCCCCAGATCCATTGAATATTTGTCTTTATTACTCTCTACCATCCTGAATGGCCTCTGTCTTAAAACATTTCACAGCTTCCTGTTATGATGGTAACGTGTTGTTAGGCAGAAAGTCTTTTTTTCTTTCTTTACAATTACAATGGAAGGAGGCAGAGCATTTAGAGCCCTTAGTGGTACCGCAGGTACCAGCAAGTGAGAGGTCCTCCAATCCAAACAGGGGCATTCAAATGCTTGTTGGCTCACCTTTATCAAGGATACAAGCCACCAAATGCCATCCCAAAAGACAGTTGGGGAGACAAGTTGGCTTCTGCAGGCTCACTCCTCTGATCTCTCTGCTAATGTCACCATTGTTTTTCAAGCATGCAGACTATTATGGAGATGGGCAGAGGACCACAAAACTGAGGACTGGGAATAGTGTGATGGTGCGAAAAACTTATTTCCCGGAAGGAGGCTTACATCATAACATCGCCTTTGCCCCAGAGGCCAGTGGAAATTGTGAGGTCAATAATATTTCTCAAGATTTGACAAGCTACTGATTTCCAACTTCATGTATTGTTTTGAAGATCATAGGAGGTATGGCAAGCAAGAGAGATGGAAGGGCCCTAGTAGCAGAGACAGAAACACTTCGATTCTGCTAGCAGTGGAGCCTTCAGCCCGGAGGAACTCCAGGGACCCAGAGGGAACCTTTCTCTCCTTGTGAGGTACTGCATCCTGGGAACCAGATTGCTCTTCCTCTACAAATGCAGGGGCCCCACTTTTGAAGTAGACACTTGCCTCTTTCACATTCAGGGCTGTTTTGAATTCTTGCAGGTTGATCTCTTCGTTTTCTCCTGCAATGGTCTCAAACTGCTGTGTCACCCACTGAAGCCATTTGGCATCCTCCTTGGCACTCACGGTGCTGAGAGACAAAGGAGACAGGCGTATGGGGTTGGCGAAGCCAAGGGCTTACAGTGGTCCCAGATCCTCTGCCTCCTTCTAACTAGGGCCTCGGGCCTCCCATGGGGTTGACTCAGCACGGCCATGGGAGCAGAGTCTCCCCACAGCTGCTGCTTTATGTCTCTAAGTCACTGTCTCTTCCTTCCATCTCCCATTGGTTGGCCTAGATTTGTGTTTCTTTAGGTTCTGGAATGACAGGGCCCCAGTGAGATAGAACCCAGACTGTGGAGATAAGGTCAAAAATGGCACACTCCGGGAGTGCTGTCAACATGACGACAATGACTTTCCCACTCACATTTACACAGCTCTGTACCATTTTCCAAATACTTCCTACTCACTACTTCATTTGGTCTCTGTGACAATCTGATGGGCTATGATATTTTACAGGGAGAAAATAGTCTCATAGCAGTTGAGTAATTTAGCAAAATTTATTCAGCAGTTTAGAGACAGAGAGAGACAGTTCAAATCCAAGGCCAGCGTTTTTTCCATCACTCCCCAGAGGCCTCTGCTTGAACACTTATAGCACAAGCCATGCCAGGACTCAGACTTGGGGTCTTGACTCTGCAGGCCCAGGGCTCATTCTACAAAACCCCAAGGGTATCAGCTGTCTAAAACCATCACGGGTGAGCTATCTATCCAATGATCTGAGCAGAGGTTAGTGATGAAATGAGAACACCACTTTCTTATGCATCAGGACTCAACAAACCAAAAATGAGGCACTGAGTGAGGATTTATAGCATCCTGTTGCTATAAATTTTCCTTTGAGAGAATGGCTTTGCCTGTACCTATGAGTTTGATATAACTTTAAATGATTTAGCAAAATCAGTCCTCATTAGTTGGAGATTCCGTATTTGCGAATTCACCTACTCGCTATTTGTAACTCCCAAATCAATACTTGCAGCATCTTAAGCAATCCTCGTGGATATGGGCAAAGCAGTGATGAATTTTGAGTCTCCTGATGCACACGTTCCCAGCTGAGGTTGAATAAGGCAACATTCTGCCTTCTTGCTTCAGTTCTCATACTATAAGCAAGTGTCCTTTTTTGTGATCTATTTGGTGCCATGTTTTTTTGCATTTTTGTGCTTTCTTGTTGGTGATGTTGCTCTTTAAAATAGCCCCCTAGAGTAGTGCTGAAGTGCTGTCTAGTGTTCTAAGCACAAAAAGGCTGGGATGTGCCTTACAGAGAAAACACATGTTAGATAAGCTTTGTTCATATATGAGTTCTAGTGCTATTGACTGTGAGTTCTATTTGTTAACTTTCACAAATCAAAGTTAAAGGTGTCTTTAAATAGAAACACATATAAAACAAGATTATATATTGCTCGTTTGATGAAAAATTTGTGCCCAGATGTTGTCAGGAACCAAAGGCTGTATTTTTCCCTAGAAGTAATTGTTCAGAATTCTCTACCTCAGTGTTTACAGTAACTTTATAGAACATAACAATCATAAATAACAAGAGTCAACTATATTTATAAATAAAGATTAAAAATAAATGAGTTAACTTCCATTTAAAGGACTAGAAAAAGAATAAGTACACACATACAGAAGTAGAGAGATAGACTATTAAATAGAAAATCTAAAATTAAGGAACCAGAAAACTAAAAAAGATCAAAGTGATAAATTTATTTCGATTATGATGATGGTTTTACAGATATATCTATAAGTTGAAACTCATTAAATTGTTCATTTTAAATATGCAGTTGTACATTAATTATGCCTCAATGTAGTAAAGAAACAAATTAGTTCTTTGAAAAGACTAAATAGAAAATCATGAAAAAAGAAAAAAAGTGAAAAAAATTATAACATTAACATTGAGAAAGTCAATGAACTCCAGAAAATGGAAGGTTACAGAAATTAGCCTTTAGTGAACTTAGAGAAATTAATTGATTTTAAGAAGTAATAACCTGAACTGACCAATAATCATTTAAGAAATTAGAAAGGCAGTTAAATATCAACCATTTAAAATAATGTCAAGCCCAGCTTGTTTTTATAGCCGAGTACTATCTGATCTTCAAAGAATAAGTCCAATGTCAAACTATCTCAAATTGTAGAAAATAATGGTAAGGTTTCCAATTTATTTTACCAAGCTAGCATTGCCCAATCTCAATGAAGATAACACACATGCAAAAGTAAATTCTAGACAATTTTAACTTATAGAGATGCAAAACTCAAACCAGAATATAACCAAACTAAAACCTAAAGTCTGCTTTAAAAAATAATAATCTACCTTTATCAGGAAGGACTTATTCCAGTAATTTAAGGATAGTTGACTATTAAGAAATCTATTGACAACCTTCTGCAACCCAACAGTGCAGTCTGCTGAAGAGTAGTGGTTCTCAAACTGATACATGCCTGTCAGAAACAGAGGAAGCTTGCTAAAACACAACTTTGGGGTGGGACCCAAGAATCTGAACATTTAATCAGAACCCTGGATGTTTATGAACCACGCAGTGTGGTCCAGGCTCACACCTGGAGAAACGCTGCCCTGAGGGTTAAACAGCCCCCACTTACTTCACCTCTCACACAGGAAGGTATTCCATAAAGCAGAGAGAGCTCTGGAAAATAAGCTGCAGATAACTGCTAACCCAGGGAGAGTGGGGATTGGGTGTCTCAGAAATATGTGTTGGCCTGCAGAATGAGAAAGATATCTCTGGGAAGGTGGTGGAGAAGAGACTGAAACAGCTGGAGAGAGGTAGGCGGTGAGGGCATAGGAGGTGGGAAGGGAAGAAGGCAGTACCGAGGGAGATATAAGTCCTGACAAGGAACTAGGGATCTTCAGATGCCAGAGTTCCAGGGAATAATGTGCTCCCAGAGGCTAGAATTGTCCCCAAGAGGCCAGAATTTTAGGTCCAACCTTGCTTTGTATTAACCGAATAACTCATCCCACTGCACTATAGTTTCCTCATCTATGAAATGTGACAAGCATCCCTCCAACCAAGGGCTGCCCTTAGGACCAAATGAGATTCTATTTGGGAAAGTACAACTGATGAGTACTGTACCAATGCTAGCTATTGTTATTAGTGTGAGTTGGCCATTTCCTTATTTTACAGATGAGAAAACAGGTCCAGAGAGAACTGGTGGCTTATGCAAGATTGCACAGCTTGCTAGTAACCAAGCCAGAGCAGAGCTCAGTTTTCCTGACTTCTGTCCCAGGCAGGCATAGTCACTCTTTGTAGAGCCCAACCAAAAGCAAAGAACCCTTGCCTTTCCTTTGTCCCTGGCATGGGAAGCTTAACAAATGAACCACTCACCCTCTGTGGCCTTCAGGGTCTGGCTGGGTTGGGTCTCCTGGTATGCTCATCCTTTCTCCTGTCTTTCAGACCACAGGTCTCAGAGAAGCTGCTGCCTGTATAGCAGCCTCTATGGTGAAGCCCAGGGCTCACCTCTCCCCAGCTCCTCCTCTTCCAGAGTTTCTTAAAGAGCTGCTCACACCCACAGCCCCTCTGTCATCCATGTGTTGACTGTGGCTGGCTTGATCTAGAGAAATTCCAACCAGGAAGCCTAGTGCAAGGGCGGGGCAAGAGTTTCACTGGGAAGAATACTGCCTGCCTTCAGGCTGCCCCCATATCTTCTACTTTCCTTCCCTCAAGGAGAGAACGCAGGTAAGAGATCTAGAAATGCACCACGAAAAAAATCACCAACAACTCAAGGCAGGCCCTGCTCAGTGCCAATGAGCTATGTGAGACTTATATGATTGCACTAATGTCAATTACCAACAAAAATGTTGATGTACTTACTCTGAGCTGAGCCCTGTACTAGAACTTTACACGTGTTGTTCAATTTACTACATGATGCGACCCGGCCTGGTGGACATTAACAGTATTATTTTATGAATGAGAAAAGGGAAACTCAGAGGGGTAGAGTAACATGTCCAGATGGCTTGGCAGGACTCAGCTATGTTGTGCTGACTCTGGAGACTGCATTAACTATGCAAGATGCTAAACTCGGCCCCAACCATAAAAAAATATACTGGAACAGTCATTTGTAGAGGTTCCTGGTCCAAGGGATCCAAGGAAGGACAGAGATCTGCAAGTTCTATTGTTAAAAATGTAAGAGAAATTATACAATTACTTAAATAAAGCCACTCTGCAACTAAAATTCTAAGTGCTTATTATTTTTTGTCCTGCCTGGTAAGAGATCAGCTCGGGCTGATAAACCTGGACATTTGTTGAAAATTAGGACTTCCTACTAGTGACCTTAGAGGTTCCTGGTTTATTTCCAAATGAGAGAAATAATTTTTGTTTTGTTTTGTTTTAAAGCAAGTTGCTCGAGTTCACACCTGTCAGAATGACTATTGTCAATAAATCAAAAACAACAAATGTTGGCAAGGATGTGGAAAAAAGGAAAACTGCATGCACTTTTGGCGGGATTGCAAATTGGTGCAGCCACTATAGAAAACAGTTTCAAAGTTCCTCAAAAAATTAAAAATAGAACTACCGTATGATCCAGAAATTGCACTTCTGGGTATTTATCCAAAGAAAACCAAAACAATAATTTGAAAAGACATATGCATCCCTAGGTTCACTGCAACATTATTTACAATATTCAAGATATGGAAGCAACCTAAGTGCTCATCAATAGACGATTAGATAAAAAAGTTATGGTACATATGTACAATGGAATATTACTCAGCCATGAAAAAAGAGATCTTACCATTTGCAACAATATGGATGGACCTAGAAGGTATTATGCTGAGTGAAATAAGTCAGACAAAGACAAATACCATATTATTTCACTTATATATGGAATCTAAAAACCAAAATAAATGAACAAACAGAACAGAAACAGACTCATAGATACAGAGAACAAACTGGTGAGTGCCAGATTGGGAGGCAGGGGGATTGGGGAGACTGGGTGAAAAAGGTGAAGGGTTGAGAAGTATGAATTGGCAGTTACAAAATAGTCATGGGAATGTGAAGCACAGCATAGAGAATATAGTCAATAATATTGGAATAACTATGT